AACTGTGATTGAGCATGGGCTTAAAAACGAGTGATAATATCATTTTAAGCCAATAGGCAAAATATGAAATTATAATAATCCACACTTACGGATTTTACGAATTGTGGAATGTGACTGCCAACGCTTTGAGAGGCTTCCATAATTATAATAGGATTGGTATCCTGTTTCTTTCATGGCGTTTGGTTTGCGCGTTGGTGTTGAACACTTTGTATTTAAAAACAAATGTCGATTCATAAACAAATCGATGAACGTTGTATCTAATCATGCATGCATATTTTCCGTGTTTTAAATAAGGACGAAATAAGTGGTCCAGAAAGTTATAAAACTCGTGCTTTGGCTTAAATGGCAAACAATGTAGATTCTTGGTATCCCAACAAACCTTCTTTAACTAAAAGAATGCAGTATTGGGACAAATACTAACTCTAGGTTTTAGCAATATCACGGCAGGGGACACCAGAAATGGGCTTCACACATTGTACCCATGTGGGGAATCAAACCCGGGTCTTCAGGGTGACGAGTGAACGCCTTAACCACAAGGCTACCCCACCATCCGTATTGGGCGTGACATAGACATCTACAGTATGTATTTACAACAATGCGGAAAAGCTGATAGAACTGGGCACTACATTGCTTGCTGATTATGTTTTTTTCCTGACAAAAAATTAAAAACACTTCACTGATATTCAGCCATCGATGACGTGTCATTATACATGCACCTGCAGCATGTGGGGCACGATCAATATACACCATAAACTCACTGAATCAATGTTTGCGAGTTTTATATTTTAACTTGTTTGATCAAAGTTACAACATTCAAGGCTTCAGTAAAGCTTTAAAAGGTTTTTGGTAGACATGTGGAGGACATTTCGAATTTCGATGCATCAATGACAAAATGCATGTCTGATTCAATTCCCTATCTTGACATGGACCATGCGTTTCCGGTTTATTTCAGGTGAATAATTCACTAGACTTTGCTCATGTTTAAGACAGGTGCCACCGGTGGGGCAGGATAAGCCCACCTTTTCGCGAACACCTGGTATCATCACTATTTCATAAACACATTCTCTGTCATCACCGGATTGTCTGGTCCAGACTAGATTTGTTTACAAACGCCATCGTGCAGCTGTAAAACTTCTGATACAAATATCTGCTCATGATAAAGTCACAATTGTACAATCGAAACTGCTTTTATTCTTTGAAGGTTAATACTTACTACAAAATTGTGAAATATTGGACCAGGTTAATAAGTCAAGATAAGAATATTATTTTGTATAAAGTACATAAATATCAGTATCGTTTAGCTGAAAAGAATCTTGATAGTATGGCGTTGAGAGTTAAGAAACTTCTCTTCAGCTATGGTTTTGGAAATTTTTGGGTTGATCAACAAATTACAAATGTAAACAATTAAGCAGAGGTGTATTGATATTGATCTTCAAACGTGGGCTTCAGATCTTGAAACATATACTAAACTAGATTTTTTCAGACGGATAAAGATGACTGCGTCAGAAGAATATTACATTAGTGCTGTAAATGTGAAGGTATATTGAATCGCCCGCTGTAGATTTCGCTGTTCAAATCATATGTTAATGATTGAATATGGAAGACGTTTAAATCTTGCACGCGACGAACGTTTGTGTCCTTTGTGTGTTATTCCTATGATCGAATCTGAATACCATTTTTGCCTTGAATGCCCATTCTATCACGATCTGAGAGCATCTCTCATACAACGTTTTTATCATGTATACCCTTCTGAAAACAAGCTAGCCCTACCGTTTACTTCTCAAAATAATACTGCTAAATACCTTGCTAAATATATATTTTTAGCTATGATAACACGTATGAAATATTTGGCATCCTGCTGATCTTGTGTTCACATCTCTGTACAATTATACCTCTATGGCCATTCCGTCACTTTTATGGCGCTTCATGTCATATCCTGAATCCTTCTGACATGTATGTGTATAAAGGGCCGGTGGCCCCCTTACTGAATAAACATAACCAACCTATAAATATTCTTGTTTTTACCGCCCGATCCAAAAATTCGACCCGACCCTAACATTTATAAATTTATTTTTTACATTAGAGAAAATGCAACTTTCACTCTCAAAATGTGCATGAATTGTTCACACTTCTAAGTTCTATCACTTCTATCGGACACATGGGCGGTGGGGTAGCATAGTGGCTAAAGCGTTCGCTCGTCACGCCAAAGACCTGGGTTCGATTCCCCACATGGGCACAGTGTGTGAAGCCAATTTCTGGTGTCCCCCGCCGTGATATTGCTGGAATATTGCTAAAAGAGGCGTAAAACTAAACTCACTCACTCACTATCCGAGAAAAGGTGTAAATTTCCACAGAAATCAAGGGGGTTTGGACATGCATTCCTTTGCATTACTGAAAAGTGTGGCCATCAACTTACACACTGACACATACATAGTTTGAAGGGGAAAACATCGAAATGTGACACAAACCTTATGCTAAAAATCACTAACCGATATTCACTTACACTGAACATGACACACTGCCAGAAGCGCGAAACACCAAGACCGACGATAATCAAAGGGAAATAACTCTTATCATGCAATTCGGAATAATCATGCACAGTCCCGCTTGTTGTGTCGGCAGCTGGTCAGATACCCGTATTAAAGCAAGGACGATCGTTTCGGGCCTCACAGTTGCTGCAGATTTTCAAAACTGTGTTCGAAACTATCAGCCATATTAACTATATGAGACGACACGTGTTCTCGGTACAGTCTTGAAAGATTGGTAGGCCTACAGAATTAATTATTCAGTTTAGGAAGTCAACTTTGAAAGACGCAAAGGTGGTATTTTAATGCGAGCGGCACATATTGGCAACATAAAGCGGTCTTAATTACCTGTAGTCCCTCAAACTGGTCGATTCGGCATGTATACATGTTTATCGCTTTCAGAGTCATAACCCAAATTGAAATCGGAAGTGACGTAGCATTTAGCATTGTGGCCCTTTGCGCATGCACACACGATCCCGTTCGGACAACGAATTCACATTCTCCACAGCGTAGTAGGTTGTTAGGTCACATTTATTGTTTAAATGTTAACTCAACCTTAGCGATCTGAAACAATGTTAAAACATGTTTGCCAAAACAGTTACCAATTTAAGAAACCAAAAGAAAAACATTGAATCAATGTTTTGAAAACGTTATGTAACAGGAACGATAAGAAATCAGCGATACCTCTAGCATAAGTAACCAGGTAATCGATCAACAACTGCGTTCTGACGAGTGTCGTATCAGTTTGTGGGGTGGCAAGCGCCTGTAAAATATCGCCTGATTCCTCAGTACCATATCATTAAGCAAATGATTGGTTGGTTGATGCTTAACGCCACACTCAGCAGTATTCCAGCTATATTACGGCGGTATGTAAATAATCGAGTCGGGACCAAGCAATCCAGTGATCAAAATGATGAGCATCGATCAGTTTGGATACGATGAATATATAATGTATATTACTAACATGAATGTATAATATGAACGAGAGAATAACAATTCTTCATTTTCCGACGAAACATATTCCATTGAAAGTAAAAAAGAAACTTGTAAACAATAATAACCAGTAATGAGTCCAGGTATTCGCGAAATAAGATTATTCATTATCGACTGCCATTCTGACCCTCTTCAGCATGCATACATGCATACATGCATACACGAAGACACACTCGAGTCTGGAACAGACAAGCCAGTGATCAACAGCATGAGCATCAATCTGCGCAATTAGGAACCGATGACATGTGTCAACCAAGTCAGCGAGCCTGACCACCCGATCCCGTTAGTCGCCTCTTACGACAAGCATGGGTTACTGAAGATCAATTCTAACCCGGACTTTCACGGGTCAAGATTACCGGATGAAGCATGAGTTGTTGAAGACCCATACACACACGCGTGCGTTATTCGTACATGTAATTCTGCAAGCATCTGTACCAACCTGGGTGTACACAATTGTTTCAGCATGGACTGACGATTTGAGTTTAGTTCGAGGGGAGGAAGGGTTGGTGTTCCAAAAAGTGTTCGCTGGACGATCTGGATGTTCTTCCATCGTACACCAAGAAGCAGTGCCTCCACCTCAAACAACCCACCACCACATACAGAGATGACATCGACCTGTCGTGGCCTTTGGGAGGACAGAGAGACAACAATTTACCTTATGGTGTCTTGAAAAAACGACATTGCCGGGGACAAGCGGGGAGCTGATATTGATGTGTTGGCAGTGTGAGTGAGTGAGTGATCGATGGATGGTCCTGCCTTATCACATTATTGTGTAAAAATCAAAGTCATTGCAGGAAATCGTTTTACCAGTACGAAATCGATATCACTGTAGCCTGAGCTAAACGTACTCAGATTCTTGGCTTGAGAGATACATATGTCTTCTCACTGGGAACCAGATATATGTCAGGAATAACATCGCCTCAAGTGATGACTCGAGTGTATGAAACCCACAGACTATTAATACATTTACCCATAAAGTATCTGAAGTGCAACATTGTATACCATGTTTAAACGATTTTAGTAAACCCTTAAAGTAATAACATACAATTGCTTGCCAGGAGACCCTTGATAATATAAACCCTTTGACAGTAGATCGAGAGTGGTGTGTGACAATTAGACCTAAGTTTGGATCAGAATTACACTTTAGATGATCATATCCTAAAAAGCAATGTAACACGTACAGTGTTACTGTATTAGACAATCGCCGCCCAACGAGATGGGAACAGGAAGGTATATATTTGAGTAAATCGACATACAATGTAAATATAAATACTAAACAGAAATCCACACAAAAATGTGAATAAACACGGTCCAAATATATATTCGCCCGATGTGGTGAATCAGTATCTGCAAAATCAATACTGCCTATAGTCATTCTTTGTCCTTGCTAAACCCTGTCGTTACATCTTTGTCCTGCTGAATTAATTTCTGAAATCAATAACTAGCTCGTGTCATCACCTACTGCACAATCAATGACTTTCAAAGTAAAAGAAATACTAGTTTCCAGAAGAGTATTCCAGTGATTTTTATCTGAGCGTATCCAGGAAGTACTCTTCTTCACGGTTCTCCAAGTGGGAACTTCAGTTGTTTTTGCTAAGCTTCATCTCACCGAGAACAGATTTCAATGTCCATTCAAGACTCTACATAAACTTGTCTTTCTTGATACCTGCGTTTCTTTGAAGCACTGAGTTTGCATAGCTGAAAGCAGCTTTGAAGAAGATCCTTGGTTACAAAGAAACACGATTGAAATCTCGCGAGAGTTTACTGACGACGAGAACACTTGGCCTGAGACTATGCAGGCCTCTATACCTGCTGCGTGGTACGGTATATTCGCATGTATCTCAGGTATGTTTTGTGGCTTTATATTTGTGAGGATGTGTTTGGTTTGTTGAACATAGGTTAGCGCTACACGTTATTTGAAGATTCCTATGTATTTAATTTTGTCGTTTTAAATGTATGCTTCTTCTTGTCAAAATGTTACGAAAGTCTCTATGAAATACAGTATTCTTGGTATATTAACAATAGTGCACTACCATTTATTCATGTTTCATAATCGTAATTCGGATGATTGCAGTTTACAATATGTATTATACGTAAATGTACATCACATCACTATCAAGGATGTATTGTCAGGATACTATGAGAGTGCTGCATTTTACGGCAGCAGGAATAGCCATAGTTTATTTTTTGGTTTTCATTTCCTCGCCTATTGTATTATGGTATTATTAAATATTAAATGGTATAATTTAATATCAAAGGGTACCCCATGGAAATATTTCTGCACTTATGATACACTCTTTTTAATATAAAAGCCTTGCAGGTTAAAAACACACACACGTTACAACATTACTTTTAGAAAATCATTAAATAACGATTGGACGTCAAGTACATTGTGTGCTTTGAATAAACCGTCAAAAAGTATCTGGCAAGTTAATGCAACATACCCATTACCTACAACCTAGTAATATTTACTTACTTACTTATAATATTGCATTCCTTTTAACAGAACTTTTACATTTATTTTTTACCCTTTACACAAAAAGGAATCTGTTTCTGAAGATTGTCAAGATTGGGCATTCTTTTGCACTTGTGTTATATTTACAGACATATTTTACGAAACAGCTGAATAAATATATAGCATTAACCATAGAGTTTCCTGGGACACCAGGTGTTCGCGAAAAGGGGAAACATGTGACAGCGGACTGGACCCTTTTAGAACTAAGATCAGGTAGTGTAAGCAATGTCAGAATTTGTTCGTTTCCGACCTTCCATCCTCAATCATTATTTTAATACCCCCTTCACACTTGAGACGGAATGAGCCGGAATGCCGTCGGAATGAAAATTCATGGAGATTCCTGGAAATTCGAACTGCATTCTAAAACTTCCTACTCCATTCCGAATGCACACAAAAACATGTCAATTCTTGTAACGTGCCCGAATGTTTTGAACATGTTCAAAACTTTCGAGGTACATTCGAAGTGGAAAAATATCGAACAGCATTTGAAGTGCATTCTTACTGCATTCTAACTGCATTCTAAGTATTCTGAACGTATTCGATGGAGAATCCTGCAAGAATGTCCCGAATGCGCCTCGAATGTACTTCGACTGCTGGTGGAATTTAGGTGGAATATTCTTCAAACATATCGGAATATTTCGATTGCACTTGGAATATAGCTCGAATGTACATAGAATACACCTCGAATACAGTCAGAACGTCCCGAATGCTCTTCAAATGAGCCCTGACGTCATCAGAACGCCGCCGAATCGCATAAAAACGTAGCCACCTGTCACTGAAACTTCAGATATCATTCAAGCTGCGCAAGTTGTCTCCAGCCTCCTGGCACCACGTTGTGATGCTCATCTTCCTCATCCACCATACCATTGTGAAGATAAGGATGACGAGTCCTCATCAAGTTGTGCAGGCAGACACATCATTCAATGATGTCCTTCACAACGGAAGGCCTTGGCAGCATGGTGATGAGGAGGATTTGCCAACTCTGGGCCATGATTCCAAATGCATTTTCCTCTACCCGTCGGCCCCTGCTGATCCAATAGTTGTAGATTCTGTCGTCTCTCTGGAGAGTCCCATGGCCATACGGTTTCATCAAGAAGACCCTTATTCCAAAGGCATCATCTTCCAGAATATAGCATGGCATACTCGCGTCATCTAGGGGCAAGGGGAACGGATCAGGAAATCCTATGCTCCCGTCTTCAAGACAATCCTTGAGCTCGCACTGGTTGAAGATCTGAGCATCAGACATACTTCCGTAAGCACCAACGTCCACCCAAAGGAACTTGTAATTTCCACCCACAAGGGCCATGAGGACCACAGAGAAGAAGCTCTTGTAGTTGTGGTACAATGGGCCGCTCTTGGCCGGTTTCCTAATGGTCACATGTTTGCCATCTAAAGCTCCTATTGCATCAGGACTATTCCACCTGTTTCTGAATATCTCTTCAATGGGTGTCCATTCTTCTGGAGTGGTAGGGCAGATGACAATCTCATCCTTGTATTTCTCCACAATGACCTTACATCCATCTGGGATGATGTGGCTGATTGTGTTCCTTGCCACGCGGAAGCTGTACATGATGCTGGGGTACCTATCACCTGAAGCCAGGAACCTGAATGTGATGGTTAGCTTCAAGCCTGGAGGTAGCGCCTTTCTCATATATGTATCCTGCTTCTGTATTCTTGGTCTTACTTTCTGCACCAACTCATCAAACATGGCAGGCTCCATCTTAAGGTAGTTGAAGAATGACTGCGTGTCCTCAACTCTGAGCTCCTCCATTAGTCATGTGTAATGTCCATACAGCCTCCTCCTTTCCTCTGTCAGCCATGGTCTGGTCTGGAATCTCCTGGGTCTTCTCCTGTTTCTTCTCCTGGTCTCCTCCACATCTCTTTCAATCAGGGATTCCTAGAGGACAGCAATCTGGAGCAACGCAACATGGTCCAGGTGGTCCATACTCTATGGAAGTTGGGCAGTGACTGATGAATATTCCAGATTCAACAGGTTTTTATACCCCATCGTGGAACATTCCGGCATTTCGGACATTCGTGTTTCATTCTAAGTGCATTTGAAGGACACTTGAAATATTCGAGCTGCATTCTGTTTTTATTCCTTAACATTCGATCCATATTCGGGGGTCCTTCCAAGAGGGTCCTAAATACATTCTATGTAAATTCGTGCAACATTCGAGGTACGTTCCAACTGAAATTCAAGTGCTATTCACTATGCAATCGAACCGGATTCATTTATACATATTCTTCGTGTATTCTAACGGCATTCTAATTATTCCTACTGTATTCCGATTTATTCGAGCTGCATTCGTGATCTAGAACATTTGGAATGAGTAAGAATCATTCGAGGTGGGTTCGAAATGCGTTCTAAGTATTCCAACAGCATTCTTACAAAGCTTGAAAAATTGTTTATTTTGACATTCTCTCCCGAATGCGGTTCGAATTTTGGAAAAGAAATTCTGGCTGATTCTCCTTGATTCCTGTCAATTCGAAATAAGTGTGAAGGACCCTTTACATTGTCAGTGCGCTGGATCGTAGTTTGTGCAGTGTGTGCGTCAAGGAAGATTCAATTTTACATTCTGAATTGTGCCCATTCTTTTGAATTCTTCTAAAATACTGAAGCCTATGAAAACAGTCTTTGACTTCAGATGTTTGAAGTCATGGCTGTGAGCCAGGCCAATTTGAATCATGTATACATTTAGTGAATCCAAGTATTTTGAATGAATTTGACTACTGGTATTGTTCATGTTTAGTGTACTTCCTTGTCAACAGTTTCAGCAGCTGTTGCCAATATACCCAAATACGCAACAGTATGGTGGTTTTATCTGATCGGTATTGCGGTATAATATGTTTCATAAGATCAGCTCAAGGAGTTAGTATTATGTTCCAAACATTACAGACCGCCTCCGTGGTGTAGTGGTTAGAGCGTCCGCCCGGAGAGCGGAAGGTCGCGGGTTCGATCCCCGACCGCGTCATACCAAAAGACGTTAAAATATGGTACTTGTTGGTCCCTGCCTGACGCTCGGTATTAATGGGTACAACAAGGACTGGTCGGCTCGGAGTCAGTATAATGTGTCTGAGTGGGGTATTCATGCTTCACTGCGGCATGGTATCTCAGTGGGCTAGCACTATAAAACCAGCTTAAGTCTGGGCTAGTACAAGCAGCCGCACAAACACATACACACGCATGCACGTCGTCATATGAGCGAAATATTCTCAAGCACGACGTTAAACCCAATTTCACCTCACCTCCAAACATTACAAAGCAAACAATAACTATATATAGGCTTATCAATCTTTGTGCACAAGTTTCGCTGAAAGGGTCGTTGTAGGCACTGGTACAATAGATATGTACCCTAGAAACGATCCCTTGCAAAAATCAGAATACAGAAACGCACCCTAGGACGATTCCATTCCGCGCTGTGTCGTTTTCCTGATCGGAATTGTCACGCTGTTGTATTTGATGCATTTGATTACGTTATATAAGAAACGACCATGCATACTAACGAATATTTCGTGATGCACAATAGCACTTGCAATCAGCTGAACAACCACATAGGGTTTCTGTTTTGGGTTGCGGAATATGGACTCGTCCACTCAGGGGGCCGGGTACGTTTCTGTATTTTGACTTTGTTTAGGGTATATTTCTGTGTACAGAAACGTACATATCTGTAGTACCTGTGTCGATACAATCCGTTAAATGTATTGTCATCATGAAACACTGACCAACGTGTTGTGTACATGACACAACAAGCGTTGCAGTGATGCTTCCCTGTGACCTTGCCATGGACAATGGGACGTGCCGTTTGACCGGTCATTGTGATATCGCCCCTTTCCATAATGGACCTATGCCCAAAATGTTAATGCTTTACGTTGTAAACATCCATGAATCTCTCGATTCCTTCCGTCATGGAAGTCAAGAGTAAACCTTGATTCGTCGGAAAACATGATACCAGCCCAAAGTGGATTATCCCAGTATTACTGACAAGCGTCATTCAAATGATGGACAGTGGGTTGAGATGACACTTGGACGTCGAACACACAATTGGCATTTGCGTGACGACTTCGCCCCGCCTAGCCACGTGCTCTTGCAATAGTGCCTGTTGTAACTGTTCACTCGCCAGGGTTGCCTTTTGAAACCGATGCTTTTAAAGCTATCGATCTGTCTAATCTGTCATAGACTGTGTCGGTGTAGTGTCAGGCCTGTTGTTGATACCGGTGAAGATCCGGGTAAGAATTGATCTTCAGCAACCCATGCTTGTGGTAAGAGGCGACTAACGGGAACGGGTGGTCAGTCTCGCTGACTTGGTTGACACATGTCATCGTATCCCAATCGCGTTGATCGATGCTCATGACGTTGATCACTGGATTGTCTGGTCCAGACTCGATTATTCACAGACCGCCGCAATATAGCTGGACTATTGCGGCGTTAAACAACAACCAACCAAACTGCTGAGGAGAGACTGAGAAAAATGCAACATTTGGGGCAACAATGTTAAACTGGGGTATGACCACGGCACGTGAGCGTTCAACACATTGCAAACGCCGCCTGATCAATATTGTTACTTCCTTAAAGACTGACTGCGTTAATGAAGTGTACTTAAGTGTTTGGTTCCAAGAAAACATAAGCGCCTCACAATGGTTAGGCTGAGGTTCCCCTTGCTGTTCAAGGTCACGTGCTTCATGACTTTCACAATGTTGTGTTAAGGAAGGTTGTCACATAAATCACTTAATTCCTTTGCCACACATCGTTGTTTGTTCCCCTTCTTCACCACAACACAAAACATCCACTACTTTTATGACATATTATATATGGGAACTACATCATGGATCGAAAGGAAACAAGGGTTGTAGGAGTGATACTTGACAGAACAGAGATTGGGCAACATGACTATCTAGCAAGTACTGAGAAAAAAGCACAAGCCGTTCCAGTTGACGTTGTCCCAAACAAATCGATCTTGTAAATACGTTTGTCACATGGAAAACGTTTCAGCAGGGTATGTTCTTGCAGTCTCCACTGCAGACAAGTTAGGTAAAAGATAAAGTAAGATCTGAGTTAGACGTGTAAGGGAAGGCATTAGTTGCAGCCAACGTAATGCGTTTATTGTTGACCATGTATATTACCCACCGTTTGATACCGAGATGATGGACCGTTGGGGAACCATTTATATGTTTGCTTGGAAGCATGTGATGTTATTCAAATACTACATTCTGTGATTAGAGCATACGTTTAATGGAAGGTTCAGAACGATTTGCATGCCTGTTATACCATTGACTCTAAGGAGGCCGACATTCATATCATCTTCAATAATTTACAATGTTTACTGAATTACATCTGCGAACATGGACTTTGTTTTTGATTGAGCCAGGGATGTCATAGCGTGTCAGCTAATATATGCATACACACGCACGCACGTTCGTTCGCATCCGTACATCATCCAACCATCTATCCATCCATCCATTCAACCATCCATCCTGCCATCCATCCATCTAACCATCCATCCATCCATCTTGCCATCCATCCATCCATCATCCATCCATCCATCCATCCATGCGTGCATGCATGCATCCGTGCATGCATGCGTGCGTGCATGCATACATACATACATACATACTTCATTCTATCATCCATCCCTTCATCCAGCCATGCATGCATGCATGCATACATACAAACATACATACATACACACACACATACATACATACATACAACATACATACATGCATGCATGCATACATGCATGCATGCATACATACATACATACATCATTCTATCATCCATCCCCCCATCCTTCATCCACCATTCCAACCATCCATCATCCAACCATCCATCCATCCATCCATCAATCCATGCATGCATGCATGCATCCATCCATCCATCCATCAATCCATACATACATTGCACGTCCAATGTTCTCACTGTCTCCTAAGCCAGTGTTGGTGAATCACTGAAAAATCATACAAAATGATAGTGATTATACGAAATATGCTTAAAAGATAAACGTAACCTATGTCACAGGTGACTCATCATAGAGGTTGTCAACTTCCACGGTGGTCTCCAACATGAAGCCAATATGCCGTACTGAAGACACTCGACGAAGCGGCTGATCTGTTATTTGAACCGATGGTCAGCACGTTCAGCATCATCTAATGAATGTAACTCTGCATAACGTATTGTCAATCTGGACAGGTACATTTGTTATCAAACTGATGCCAAACGTTACAAATAAACTTTCTTTTGATATTCCAGCCAAATGCACTGGAATCACTAATGGCAGTTTAAAAGAAATTCGGTCATGTTGCGTATCGATATGTTAAGCCATTAAGTTCTCTGATGTGCTGCAGTGAGTAATTGTGCATATTTCCCTCGAGGATTGCCTACTTTATGTGAAAAGATCAAGAGACTTGCTACACACGCCTAATTAACATCATTGTCAGTGTGCGAACATCCCTCTGTGTCGTATTGTTAGCAATCTGGGACATTTTGAATAACTTCAAATTTACTTTACGTCGTTATTTTGTATACATCTTTCATTTTCTAAAAAATAGACTTATGGAAATCGTTGTGAGACGTAGTCATATTAATTTTTCAAATGAGCAAAAGTTCCGAGAACACAAAAGGCTGATCGATGTTGGATGTATATTTGTACGGGAGTGTAGAACATAGGCATCAACCTCATCATTCTGTCAAATCCTGTGGTGATTCACAATCGAGTTCATACAGTAGAAAACCATCGGTTGCCATAGCTGGTGATGTTGTTTAGCTATATCAAAGGTTGGTACGCTGCAATATTCACGTTTACGTTCGTGTAAAGCCTACATCACCATCATGCGTTGTATTGAGTTGCCTGACCTGGTCGTACCAGGAGCCACAGAACTTATCATAGTGTATCACTTCATGCTCCGTGAGTTTCTTCACAGCAGTAAATTTCTAAAGATCACATATACTATAGAGGGGTACAAATACATAAAGCATTTATTGGCATCGTTATAAATGAAACCCCGTCATTATAACTACTCTTTTCGACCTTTAAGGAACTTAAATCGACCTTTTTGACAACAGTGCACAATTCTCTCCCGCGAACGAAATATCAACCAATCAGAGGGGCGCGTCTCTGTGACGTAATGTGAGGTATACATACGAGGGGCGCTTTAGAATTCATGCACATTTCCGGGGGTAAATTATCCTGTTTACAGATTAGTCTAAACCTGAAATCGTGACAATTGTTGTGAAAAGTGAAAGCTTTATGTTTTCACAATCTACAGTCATTTAATCTTCTCACCTGCATTGCCTAGCCTCCGAGTTACAACTTATTTTCATAGACGATTCTGTCAAGAATCGCTTGCTGTCGCTAGGCCTTATTTGATTTGTTAGAGCCAGACGCTAGTGATAACGAAAATGATGATCAGCCTCGCTCATCACGGTTACAGGAAGAGGTTCGACTAGTATCTACATACTGGTGAGTGGACGTTAACCACGTGAATGTAGCAAAAAGTGTATCGCGCAATATTGTCACTTCGAACCCCACCTCGCTTCGTGGAAGAAATCGATATGTTACAAGTTGTGTCATGCAAGATCCTTTTGGTCATGATTCAAATACATATTTAACTACGAGTAGAAAATAGTTCGGATTTTCTAACTTGATGACTTTAGCCCGTGACGTCACGATTTATAAGAATGGCAGCGCCCTGTAGCGAACATCCGCCAGTCTGAGAATAAATGCTATTTAGGTTTGTTTTCACCGAGTTACAAAATCAAAACTACTTTGTACTGGTAGTAAAATATGTATTTGATTGATGGCCAATAGGATTTTGCATGACATAGCATATAACATAACAATTTCTCTCTTGGGAGCAAGGTGGGTGTCAATATAATACTCTTACAATATTATTGTCACTTTATTGACCGCAACCTCGCTTCCGAGGAAGAAATCGTTATGTTACAAGTTGTGCCATGCAAAATCCTTTTGGTCATAGATCATATACATATTTTACTACAACTAGTAATTAGTTTTGATTTTTTAACATCCGTGAAGGGATCTGAACACATGTAAGATATGTTCCAGCACAGGCAAACTGTAGCGCAATTAGGGTTGCGCAACAAAGAGAATGACCAGTCTTCCTATATGCGCGCAAAGGTTGGCAACGTACTTCCTTCGCTTCGGTTCGAAAAATATTTTTAATATCAAAATAAAATATCGCCACCATCAAAGGTAGACACCTATTTCCTCACAGGGTTATGCTCTCAGATTTCCAACCTCATATTTAATAATTACTCAAGTGCAATATATTTAATTCAACATTTTAAGCGCCACTCGTGCCACATCAAATCGTTCTTTGCCTCCATTACCCGTGCCAGCTTCCGGTTCAACGGAGTGAAGGACTTAAATCTAAATATACTTGTTGAATGACATGTCCGCCATATAGGAATACTTGCGGAGTTACCTCCCTTTTTCATTCGCCCACTACGCCAGAAGTGATTTTTGTAGAATAAATATTACGAAAATTCTAACAATAACGACGACACAAAAGAAAAATAATCTCCAACGGTTTAATGGTAAAATTAGGCAATATGATATTTCTCTTAAATTTCTGCTTATTCTTGTTCCTTCACTCCGTTGAACCGTAAGCTGGCAGGGGTAATGGAGGCGAAAAACTGTTTGATATGGCACGAGTGGCGCTTAAAGTGTTGAATTAAATATGTTTTACGTGAGTAATTAAATGTTGAATTAAATATGTTTTACGTGAGTAATTATTAAATATGAGGTTGGAAATCTGAGAGCACAACCCTGTGAGGAAATGGGTGTCTACCTTTGATGGTGGCGATATTTTATTTTGATAACAAAATCTGTGCGTTTTTCGAACCGAAGCGAGGGAAGTACGTTGCGTCGATAAACCTTTGCTCGCTTCCACTCTTGAGTTCGTAATATGTGAAGACTGGTCATTTTCTCTTTAATCTTGCGCAACCCTATTTGCGACTAACCACACGTCTTTCAAGATACAGTTAATTTTGAAAAATGAGAAAATGCAACAACACAACACAACCACGGACATGGAGAAAACAGATACCGCTTCAATATCCAGTTTTAGTATTTATTTCTTATTAAAAAATACATGTATTTACTATCGGGGAAAAGCAATCAGCACAAGTTTTGGCAACTCGGATAGCCCTATTCTGAGATATTTACACAATGGCTATCTTGTTACAAAACAATCGAGATGTGTACAACATATGACAGTGTATCTACCACCAGAGTGATGAAACATGAGCTGTTTATATTTACGTATACATGATTTATTAGTTGATAACAGTAACCATATGGACAGAGAGCGACAACTGTAAATCCTTATTGCAGCTTAAGTGTTAACACACATTTACCAGTATTGACAAAGCAGGGGCTAGTCTGTGTTTACGATTTTCAGTAAAAACAGCATTTTCTTGCATATTTGACAAAAATGACATTATAAATTAAGGCGCAGAAGAAAGTACCACGATTTTGTTGTTTGATATAATTGAAAATTGAAAGAACTGTTGTTACATTTGATTATGTATATTTAACCACTATGTTTGCCTTCGAAAAGTAAAGCTGGCAGGGTTAGTGTGATTAAGGACAGGGTAAACAGAATTTGCTACCACATGGCGCCTAACATGTGTGACCAAAGACAAAATGTTCGCAAATGTATTGATTTTAAATGCTAAGGTTTCTAAAATACCCCACGGCAGTTAGGCATTATGCGATCTGCTGTTCAAATGTTTTAAACGCCCGCGAGAACAATGTATTGAATAGAATATCGCTCAGTATTGCTGAAAGAGTCAGATTGCTTCAGTTGAGGATAGCACACAAGTAACTGAACATTTCCTTACAAATACCGTAAGAGTCAGATTGCTTCAGTTGGGGATAACACACAAGTAACTAAACATTTCCTTACCAATACTGCAAGAGTCAGATTGCTTCAGTTAAGGATAGCGCACAAGTAACTGAACATTTCCTTACCAATACCGTAAGAGTCAGATTGCTTCAGTTGGGGATAACACACAAGTAACTAAACATTTCCTTACCAATACTGTGAGAGTCAGATTGCTTCAGTTGAGGATAACACACAAGTAGCTGAACATTTCCTTACCAATACTGCAAGAGTCAGATTGCTTCAGTTAAGGATAGCGCACAAGTAACTGAACATTTCCTTACCAATACCGTAAGAGTCAGATTGCTTCAGTTGGGGATAACACACAAGTAACTAAACATTTCCTTACCAATACTGTAAGAGTCAGATTGCTTCAGTTGAGGATAACACACAAGTAACTGAACATTTCCTTACCAATACTGTAAGAGTCAGATTGCTTCAGTTGGGGATAAGACACAAGTAGCTGGACATTTCCTTACCAATACTGTAAGAGTCAGATTGCTTCAGTTGGGGATAACACACAAGTAACTGAACATTTCCTTACCAATGCTGTAAGAGTCAGATTGCTTCAGTTGGATATAACACACAAGTAACTGAATATTTCCTTACCAATACTGTAAGAGCCAGATTGCTTCAGTTGAGGATAACACACAAGTAACTGAACATTTCCTTACCAATACTGTAAGAGTCAGATTGCTTCAGTTGGGGATAAGACACAAGTAACTGAATATTTCCTTACCAATACTGTAAGAGTCAGATTGCTACAGTTGAGGATAAGAAATAAGTAGCTGGACATTCGTTACCAGCACTGTAAGAGCAAGATTGCTTCAGCTGAATATAAGGCACAGGTAACTGAACTTTTCGTTACCAGTACTGTGACAGATAGATTGCTTCAGTTGAGTATAAAGCACAGATAACTGAACTTTTGGTTACCAGTGCTGTAAGAGCCAAATTGCTTCAGCTGAGGATCGCTGCGAATAGCTGGAAACTTGCTGATGCGGTGAAAAGCAACATTTATTCATTCATTAAGTTGAGGATAAAGCACAGGTAACTGAACTTTTAGTTACTAGTACTGTGAGAGCCAGCATGCCTCAGTTGAGGATAAGAAACAGGTAGATGGACATTCGTTGCCAGTTCTGTAAGAACAGGATTGCTTCAGTTGAGGATAAGCCACAAGTAGCTGGACATTCGTTGCCAGTACTGTAAGAGCAGGATTGGTTCAGTTGAGGATAAGCCACAAGTAGCTGGGCATTCGTTGCCAGTTCTGTAAGAACAGGATTGCTTCAGCTGAGGGTAAGCCACAAGCAGCTGGACATTCGTTGCCAGTACTGTAAGAGCAGGATTGGTTCAGTTGAGGATAAGCCACAAGTAGCTGGACATTCGTTGCCAGTACTGTAAGAGCAGGATTGGTTCAGTTGAGGATAAGCCACAAGTAGCTGGACATTCGTTGCCAGTACTGTAAGAGCAGGATTGCTTCAGTTGAGGATAAGCCACAAGTAGCTAGACATTCGTTGCCAGTACTGTAAGAGCAGGATTGGTTCAGTTGAGGAAAAGCCACAAGTAGCTGGACTTTCGTTGCCAGTACTGTAAGAGCAGGATTGGTTCAGTTGAGGATAAGCCACAAGTAGCTGGACATTCGTTGCCAGTACTGTAAGAGCAGGATTGCTTCAGTTGAGGATAAGCCACAAGTAGCTGGACATTCCTTGCCAGTACTGTAAGAGCAGGATTGCTTCAGTTGAGGATAAGCCACAAGTAGCTAGACATTCCTTGCCAGTACTGTAAGAGCAGGATTGGTTCAGTTGAGGATAAGCCACAAGTAGCTGGACTTTCGTTGCCAGTTCTGTAAGAGCAGGATTGCTTCAGTTGAGGATAAGCCACAAGTAGCTGGACATTCGTTGCCAGTACTGTAAGAGCAGGATTGCTTCAGTTGAGGATAAGCCACAAGTAGCTGGACATTCCTTGCCAGTACTGTAAGAGCAGGATTGCTTCAGTTGAGGATAAGCCACAAGTAGCTAAACATTCCTTGCCAGTACTGTAAGAGCAGGATTGGTTCAGTTGAGGATAAGCCACAAGTAGCTGGACTTTCGTTGCCAGTTCTGTAAGAGCAGGATTGCTTCAGTTGAGGATAAGCCACAAGTAGCTGGACATTCGTTGCCAGTACTGTAA